TATTATTACTGCTTATAATTATTGAATGCCGTTCAACTTAAGTTAAACCAAAAGTTAAACTTAACCTTATAAAACTAGTGAAGTATCATATTTTTGTCATTAATTTAACCATGCAAATCACAATTTTACTCAATATACATATTCTTGCGTGTGAATAATTTTTTTTTTATTTACTTCGTGGAACAACCGAAACGAAAATTTCAAAAATATTTCGATAAAAATGTACTGTGCATTGGATATAATAAAATATACGGTAAAGTTTTCATATTTATTATTAATTTATTGTAATTCGAATTCAACATTTAACTATTATGTTCAACAATTAATATTCGACCATATGACTAACTCTTCGACTTACTTGTAACTACATAAATCGTTCAAAAGTCGATATTCTGGTCCGATTAAATGGATGAGTTATTACATTATTATTCAAAATGTAAACCAAGTATTGTAAAATATAATTGCAGTAATAGAATTCATTCCACCTGGAATATTTTATGTTTTATTATTATTATTTTTTTATCAGTTATTGTAGTTCGACGACCAAAAAATTTTTTTTAAATACTTTCACACCTTTGTATTATTATATTATCATTAATTTAAAATTTATTTTTGTCTAAGTTTTTGACTCAAATATAGTCAATTTATGTAAATAATAAATAATAAAAATTTACGAAATCTAGCATCAGAAAATAAGCTTTACTAGTAATTTTTTTTTTTATCCCGTTGAAATTAAAGTTGTTTTTTTTTCGATCGACTATTTTTGGTTTTATGTAAAAAATATTCTATTTAATCATATAATTTCGTTTGATTGACTAGAGAAGACATCCGACGTAACTGGTTTATATTTCGGAAGTATTTCCCATGAGTTTTTCAACACATACGCACAAAAACACACACGCTTGCATGTCCCACAAAATAACCCTTTGGGCATTACGGACCTGCTTTTTGAAAGGATGGCAACGATAATATTAGTCTTACCCGGATGAGATAGTTTACACAAATATACACTGCATCCTATTTAGACACGATCTGAATACTGAAAATATTTTTTTTTCCCTGGTGATCAATGATATGCTTTATTTATTGCAAGTTACTTAAAAATATATAAGTGTGTATACAAATATCCTATTTTATACTACTAGGTTTTGGTGAAATTAATAAATAAGTTAATTGCATTAAAAATTAAACGTACTCGAGTAAAACGGTTTGACTTTAAATTTTATATAAAAAAATTGAGTTATCTCATTGAAATAGATTTAATTATTATGATAGCCGTTTATGTTAAATTTATCGTTTATATGAAAATACTTATTTCAAGTAGATAAGGACTAAAGTCGACTTATTTAAAAATGTATAATATATGTGGTTCGTAACATTGATCAATTAAATTAAATTACTTAAACATTTTTAATTAAAAATTTAAAAAAAAACAATGTAATTTTAACTTGAAATTACTATGTTTTATTTTTAAATTTTAAATAAATAATTTAAATTCGTTTCACTTTATACGAGCGAATTTTAAATGCTACTCTAATGAAGGATGATTCAAGATTTATGTTGTAAAGGGGTACGTAAAGAATACGATATAATAAAATATAATGTGATACACGTTATCTGAATGATCAGCGCGTTAATAGTATACGCACATTGCAGTTATAAGTATAAGAGCTCAAATAAAATCATAAATTGTCGAAATTTTAACATTTATTCGTATAAATAATAAAAATGATTTTTGAATATTTTTTATGTTCTTTTTAATAGTATGTATATTGGGAAATTATATTCTGAAATGATGAAAAAATATTTATTGGTCGCTAAACATTTATTTACAGATTTCTAGTTAAGAAAACTATTGATTAAAAAACTATTAAAAAATATTAACTTAAAACCATATGTTTTATAAAATAAAATATTTTTTAAGTTAGTAATAAATAATATAATGTCAAATTTTTCACAAAATTCTCGATTTATAAGCAAAAATAGATAGTAACTTATCCATTTATTATTTTGAATTTTTTTAATTAATGTCTAGTAAGTTGTGAATATCGTTGTATTCGAATTTTATAACATTTCTTTATACAGGTTTTTGTAATATTTTTTGCAAAATCATTCGATTAAACAATTTCAAATAGAGATAAATTAAATTAAAATTAAAATGTTAATTTTTTGATTCCAGTAAAAAACTTATTTTTATTTAAAATAATTACTTACTAAATAAGTTTTAATGGTTTAATCTGATTATCCATGGGTTCAATTTTTACATTTATGATAATATTTTGAATACATAACATTTTTAGTTACAGGTATGAATTTTAATAATTGATTAAAGAATTAAAAAGATCCATGTTGTTGTATCATATAAAACTCCAAGAAGAAAACTGAATATTTTTAATGGGTTATTAGTAATTTAAATCTTAGTCTCGGGTAAACTTTATATAAAATTACATTTAATTGAATTTTACATGATTGACAAATTTGAAGTTTCAATTACAATTATTGCTTTGACATCAGATTTTGAGTTAGTGTTTTTAGCGTTAGCGAATTCGGGCAGGGCCGCAAACTTTAATGAACCCACAACCATGTATTCGGTGCTCGGATTCGGCCGTTCTTTGGCATTAAAAACACCGCAAACGGTTATATAAGCCCGCGAGATACCGTTGGCTCATTCGTATAACACATATTGTATGTAAATATATAAATGTTCACCCTCAGGAGACGTTCGAGCCGTTCGTGGTGGTTATAATGTGGCCATTAAATATTCGGTTTGGCGTTGTTCTTAACGTTGCGGACTCGAGGCTAATGAACTTTTAGCGACGACGAGCCACCCATGATCACCGTTGGTATTATTGTATAGTACTGGTGAAGACTTTTCAGGCTCGATGAAACACGACGCCACAGCATCGACGGTAACATACCCATACCGACGTGCGCACGTGCTGCGTGTGCTTCTAGACATCTTTCATTTGTCAACATCGATTGGAGCTGAATCTCGCCACGTTCGCGGAAAAAAATAAAATGTCACCGGTTACGCAGTGCCTCGTACTTTGGGCACGCGATAACGTCTCCTTTATCCTTTTAAACCATCGATCGAACCACTTCCTCGACCGTTTACCGTATACACGGTATTTTAACAATAATTCCGTTTAAGTGTGGATCTCTGACTTCGGGAGATTGCCGCGTGCGTTCTGTTGACAAAAGTAAAACACACCCCATCGCGATATCTCGCATAAACAAGCAACAACAGTATCGCACAAACTCAAACACCGCCGGCGACAAATCGCCGGGCTACAACATTAACTCCCGCGTGCATGTGTTCGAAACGAAATCTCGCGCGCACGTATTTAACGCGCCTTTTCGGGTCAAAACAAAATCAATTTGTGTAAAACAAACGTACAATAATGTATTGCAAGCACCCATATCGGATTATATGAAGTTCATATTATGAACTATACTATCGGCTGTTCGAATGGCGGAATAAATATTATAAAATCCGGTGGGAAATTTGTTTAACACCAGTTCGAAAGTTTACACAAAAAGCGTTTATATATATATTCAAATAATAACAGAAATACATACGATAGTAAGAAATACTCCATGCGCATTTCTCATAACGTATTGTACCAAATGAAATAGTAGGGGTAATTATACGCACGTGAATAATGGCAGCCGAATATGGTTCGTTTGTTAAAATATATTGTTCTTGCATGACCAGCGGCTCCGTTGTAGGGTACTACCAGGGGGTGTCATTGCACTGATTTCTCGTGGGTCCCGAGACCTACATACATCTGAGGGCCCCAATTTGGTCTCTGGTGCAAACACTATAGTCGTAAATGTATAATTATTCATCTGCATTTTTAGATCGTTGAATAAATCGTAAAAAATTGGCAGTGCCAATATGCAAACAAATATAAATAACTATAATAATGGTAATTGTGTTTAAAGTTTGTGTCAGGATTCAGTTAGCCTGTATAGAAATAAATTATGTTTAAGTAATAGATATATTTTTGTAAAACAAGTAAACGTATATTCAATGCCTTGAATTAAATTACTGATCTAACTAATAATAACTAATAACTATGTATCTTGTAGTATTATCTTTGGAATCTATAATAATTAATAAGTTATTGTATTTGAAAAACAATACAAACCGGTAAAGATTTTTTTTTTTTAACATTTTAAATTCAAACCTTTATTAAAAAAATGTTGAACAGGAATTCGCAACATTTGAAAATGCATTTGGAAAAAAAAATTATTTCAATCAAATGAATATGATTATATGAATGTATACCAAAATAAATTTGGGGTCTCTATAATTATAACTGCACTGGTTCATGGGATACTTGTGGGCACCACTGTTCATGACTATAATATCTATCAACACATATTATTGTATATTACACCTGTGTAAACTACTTCATTTGTTAATCTCTGATATTTCACAGTGACACTTTTTTCCCGATCACAGTCGAGTTGACCTTTTGCCAACTGTTGTTGTTGTTAAAACTTATTGCATGTACTAATCATTTTTATTCATGTAGAAAAAATTATATTCCAAATATATGACATTTAGTTATATATGTTCAACATTTATTTCAAAAATAATTATAAAATTTCTTTGCATTTAATACTTATATATAATGAAAATCTTATTAAAAAAAAAAAATAGAGTTTTAAATTTCTGGTCCATTATCATTTAGGTTCTAAAGTAGAGTTTAGTAAATACTAAAAATAATAAAACAATTTACAATAATATAAAATAGTAGCCACAACAACAAATTGTAATTAATTATAGATTTTTTTTTTCGTGTTGAGATGTGAAAATTCATCTTTATTTTGAAAATATTTCTATTTGCTACAAGGGGTACAGTATAAATTGAAAAAAATATAAAAAATAATTTTCAATAGATTTAATTGATGTTTTTCATCAGTATTTATCATTTTATATTATAAAAAGTAAATACACCATCCTTATATATATATCGTTATTTTTGTTTTAGATTGAAGTGAAAAATGTACTTTACCGTAATCAAGAGGCGAAATTGTCTTTAAAATGTCATGTTAAAAATTAACGGTAAGTCAACAAATTAACAATTTAAATAACTCAATATATTGGTCCTGATATTATTGTACGAAATAAATATGCTTCCAAAACGGTAAATTCCGTTATTTTTAAGTTTAAAATATACATCGTTATAACGTTTTTCAATTCACGTTACACTTTCTTCAACATACGTTTCTATGCATTTGTCAATATTATTATTATTTATTTTTCTTGAAAAGAGCTTGCGCTTTATTTATTTTTAAGTTAAATATAATTTTCAATTGAAAATTAATTTAAAATTTCAATGTAGATAATGAAACTACACAGCTGTAACCATTCCGCATTATCCATAAAGCATAAGAAAGACTTATGTAATAACGAACAGCTGGTTTAATTAGGGTATAATTTGTTTATTATAAGTATCAATTTACTTACTATAACCAATTAGAATTACATCGTATTCATGAGGTAGTTTCCGGGAAGTGCTTGAATGTTAAAAACCATGAAGTATTTGTTGACTGATATAAAAAATCAAGTAAATTAAATAATATAAATTATATTTTAGAGATTTCAGTTGAAAATTGTGAACATATTGAACAAATCCGCGAATCCTATATTATTCCACATAGTTTAATATAAAAATCTTATCACATTATAATAATATTGTTCATTGTTTAGCGAACAATCGCTAAATAATGAGAAAAAAATAATAAGCAAACAGACAAGTTGCCACATTCATGACTTCATTATTTATAAATTTCCATAACTTTGCAATATTTGTTAATGAGAATAAAACGTAAAAATTGATAAACTTTGAAATAAATATATACAATGCGTACAATAGAGTTGTTGAAATGATGATGAAAATATGAGTTTATGTGGTCATAAAAAAAAAATTAGGGTATATCGATTATCCATAGTGATTATATGTTCATTAATAATAATAGTTCCGTAGACTAGTATGATGATTTAATTTTTAACTAAAATTATTGTATACATTTTTTTTTTTAATAAAACGCTATTTCTCGTATGATTTACAATCGTGCGCATTATGTTAGTAAACTATTTTTATTCTACACCTTCTGAAAATTTTAAAATCTACATAACTACGAGAATCTCATCAAAAATGAATCAATTCATAATGGAATCAAATGCTTAAAATTAATCACATTTTTCGTATTGAGCTTTAATTAAATCAGCTCCTTTTTCTCCTATCATCATAGTAGCCGCGTTTGTGTTACAAGTGACTAATGTCGGCATCACTGACGAGTCGATAACTCTAATGTTTTCGAAACCTTTGACTTTTAAAGTGGGATCGACCACTGACGATTTATCATCAACAGCTCCCATTTTGTTTGTTCCGACCGAGTGGAAGATGGACGTTGCTAGATGCTTAATTGCACATTTCCAATATTCTCTGGTTCCATATTCACATTCCGTATCACAGTTTGGATATTTTATCTCTTCAAAGGCGAATCCTGCGTCTGTCATTGGCTTCGTTTTGCACATTTCCATTATAAATTCAATACCGTCCAACAGTATATCCATTTCTGTGTCATCGGACAAATAGTTTGATAATATCTTCGGCGTTCCTTTTGGATCGGCTGAACTTAAGTATACGCGACCGGTGTTTACTATGACGTTCAATATAGGTATCATTAGTATAATATCGCTCTTCATGTTTAATTCATCGAATACATTTGCCATCTTGTCAGAAAATCCAAACATCGTCCGGAAAGTTTTCATTTCTTTAGTCGTATTGTATGAGTATCTGATTTTCATGATTTCAATATCGGGATTCGAGCATTTCCTTTTAGTGTCAATGAAACTGAGTAAGCCCGTTAATCCCATTGTGCTTATGCCTTTGGGAATCAATTCGAACGTTTCCTTTCGAAGCTGTTGACTTTCCTTCACTATCTCTTCTATGGGCCTATCCTTGCGATCGCTCAGAACAAGACCGAAAAATGCGACATGGTCCTGATAGTTGTGACCTACTGGTAGATCGGCAACCACGTCAACTTTCATTTCGTTCAAGTGGTCCGCTGGTCCAATACCGGAAGCCATAAGTATTTGAGGACTCATTATGACCCCGGCGGAAAGTATTACTTCGAGTGTGCTATTAATGGTCTTCAGCTCGTCGTTTGACGTCAAAAATTCTACGCCGTAGGCACGTTTGTTCTCAATTAAAATCCTCGTCACTTTGGTATTTTTTGCAACGAACAAATTTGGTCGTTCGCTGATTGGCATTAAGTAAGCTTTCAACGAACTGCACCGCAGACCATTTTTAGTCGTACTGTCTGCCATAGCGTATCCGACTGTTCGGTCTAATTTATTCAAGTCTTTTACGTTGGTTACGCCCATTAACTCTGCTGCTTGAGATATCGTTTCTATGGCAGGATCGGGGGCCACAAAAGGACTCAACGTAAGAGGCCCATCTTTACCGTGATACTTGGGATCATATCGAGTTGAATCAGTAAAGTTTTCAGATTTTATAAAATAGGGTAAAACTGAATCGAAGTTCCAACCAGTACATCCTTGGGATTCCCACGTATCGAAATCTATTTTTGTGCCTCTTATATGTAGCATTACGTTCATCGAAGAACTGCCACCCATCATACGTCCCCTAGGAACATGACACCTTTCGTCTAATAACCCTTTGAACAGATTGTCTTCTTTCTCACTCACGAATTGCCAATCGTACTTGGTTTTCAAGGCTAAACTCCATTTCAATGGAATTTCTGACGATTCTGGAGGATCGTCACCGGCTTCCAAAAGGAGGATTTTCCAATCTGTTATTTCACTCAGACGACTAGCAACTATTGCGCCAGCACTACCAGCACCGACAACAATAAAGTCGAATTTTTCATCGCAATTTTCCGACCACAAAGTGGGAGCATAATCGTGCGGATATTTGATTGCGAAAGTTTTTAAAATTATCTAAATATAAAGAAATAATTTATAATATTTAAATTACAAATAAAAGCGAGTCGGTGTATACTTACTAAACTCAAGATCAAATGTATTTTGAAAGCCATTAGTTTTCTTCAACACGTATTTAAAAATTAATTCGTAAAATAAAACGGTTTTTATAACAACATCATATACATTTTAAATAATATTCATCGTACCTACCCAACGGAAGGAATGAACTACTTTTATAATTATTTTTTATAATACTTATCGCAAAATGATTGTATTGCTGATGAACGTATCTTGTGTATATATTACATGTATGTACATTGTATTTTACACCTGTGCAAACGTTATTTTTCGTTACAATAAGCATTATAATGATTATTATTGACGTACGCTTTGTGTATAACATAATCAATAGCTATATACTGATAAACCTTAATTATTATAGAAAAAAAAATCTTCTAAAATAAATTGAATATCTACACACTCGAAATGCTCGTTTATTTAACAATGAATGGCATATTATAGTTACGGTTATTCGATATGTTAATAATTTTAGTCAAAAAGGTGATTACATCATTTTTAGATAAAAGGTTATTTTATGATCTAATAATAATTTATAAAATTATATTTGTTATACATTTATAATAAAGACATGCAAAATATAAATATTTTTATACTTATTTATTGTTGACTCTTAATTTGAACTAAAATAATAATTATTCAACGTACTAATAATTGTTACTTAAAATGAGTTTTAGATGTACTTTTGAAATTATCTGATTAAGTTTTGGTGTGTTATTTAAGCTAAAACTTTTTTTCTTTTTTTTTTAAATGAATATCATAATTTAAAGGTTCTGAGTAAAGCTAAAAGTTTATTTTTTGGGCTTAAAATAAAATGTTGTGACTGATCTTTAAAAAATACAGAAATATAAATATAAAATATATTATTATTATTGATTGATTTTGATGCGCTTATTCTATGATAATTAATTTTTCATTCGCAACAATACAAAAGGCATTTTTCGAAATTCTATGGTATTTATTTTCATCGATGTATTCGCATCAGATCCCGTTTATCCGCTTCGATTCTTTCCTTTCACTTGAAGATGGCCGTATCGGCTCCAACTTGATGCTAGTGGTATGGACGTATCAGTTTCTTATCAACGAAATTCTCCTTCCCTTCTCTGTAAGCATGGTAAAAAATGTTGTTGACATATAAAATAAATAAATAAAATTAGTCTAAAATAAATTAACTGAATGAAAACTATAACAATTTTAGATAATATTTTTAACATACTCGACTCTAGTAATTAATCCTCGTTTGAATTGATCAATACATTTCTGAATAACGTTACAAATGTTTTACTCAGAGCTTGAAATCCAAATTTTTTAGTTCGATTTTAATTTAAATTTTGATTATTGATATTAGTTTTTTTTTTTTTTAATTTCGATTTTGGTTTGAAATATTGATATTTATTTTTTTGCAATTTCGTTTTTGGTTTCGAATATCGATATTCATTTTTTGCAATTTCGATTTCAAAAATCGGTAATTATTTTTTTTCGATTTAGGGTTCACAACATAATTTTATCCATAACTTATAATAATTTCTCAAATGTTTGAATATCATCAGCACAATAGTATTGTAGGCTGTATCAACAAGCTACTGATGTAGGTAGTATATATTTAAATCCATTTTTTTATTACCTATGTTATAAAACATTTTGCACTAACTACAATTATTATTAAAGTGTATCAAAAATGAAAAATCATAATATGAAAGTGAAGCTAAAATGAAGTAAACTAGGGATACATCTATGTAAAATGATTAAAACGTAAAATAAAGTTTTTTATTCATAGACTCAGGCAACATTTAATTAAATATGAGAACAATGTTTTAAATTATTAATGAGACAAATATGATGATGCCTAGCAAAACTGAAAAATTACAAAACAAAACTATTTTAGGTTATTTGATTGTATATTATTGATTAAAAGTATTACTCATGGGTGATAGCCAATGGAGTATTATAAATTAATATCTTATCCATAATAACACACTACAAAGTGTCTATATATAATATATTATACGGAATAAATCGTGTGTATAAGAACAACAATCGCTCATCCAACACCGATTCCTTATCGTAAATATTCTAAGAAAACAAAACAGAACTAGTTATTTATTATTATTTATAATCAAATATATATAATATATTGCCAAATATGGTAATCTCTACGAATTGACAATATAAATATACCTGTTGGCTGTTGAATTTTAAATTAATTTGATTTGAAATCGTTTTAATTATTAAAATAATTTTGATTTTGATATAAAATATCGATTTTAACTTTTTTTAATTTCAATATAAATTTTGAAAATCATTACCAACCATTAACGATTTTGATATTGATTTTGATTTTCTAAAAGATTTTTAATGATTTTTATCAATATTTGAAATCGATTTCAAGCCCTGGTTTTGCTGGCTTTTATTTTTTTCCCTAGCATTTTTACTACGGAGCTTTTTATACGCATATGCTTCAAAATTCATATGAAATTGAAAATATTAGGATGAGTAGCCGTGAACTCAGCATTAAATCCTACGTGAAAAAATTCACAACAGTTCGTGGTGCGATCGCCAATACTTGACATAATCCACCCACATATCCAGGGGGACAGGAAAAGTGTGAGTGAACTAAGTAATAGGCACAAATGTAGTCAAAAAATGTATTAAGTTTCAGTGAGAATGACAATTCGTTATCGTAATGAGATGCAAAACGGTGACTTAATCGATGGCAAGATCATACACCTGGAGCCGATACGGTGTCATTGATTTTTACTTCTCACGGACTATCATCGTGTGTAGCACTCTTGTGATGTTCTTCTGTGTTAATACACCTGTTCAATAACAGACGTTACCTATGTTCTACGATCTTTCGTGAGGATATAAATGAACTATATTCACGAGCAGTGACGGGATCGAGTTGACGAGTCTGCTCGCCATGGTTCATGATTAAAAATAAATATGCCCTAATCGTGTTGAACTATTATACGGTTCAATTCCTGACGTATTCGATATTTTGACTGTACAATGGGTGATGCTATAACAATATTTTCATCATAGCTAGGCTTTTTATTTTTTTTTTGCCATTATCCGTTTTCATTTCATCAAATTAGAAACTCTGTGTTTGTACATCAATGCGAGTAATATTATGCTTGTATATGTACACAGTAAAAAAAAAAAAAAAAATACAACCAAAACCTCCTCTTCGTATGTACACCACATGCACTACTGAGCAAAGTACAGCTGTAATCATGCTAATCCGGTCCCCTTGATTGTGCACTCGCAGTATGTGGTTTGTTTTGTATAAATGTAATACATATAATATATAATATATATATATATATATAATCACTAATCAGTGTTGGAAAGAAGCGTGTTCTTTAGGAACGCTATAGGAACAAAGTTTGTTTGGAACGCGTATTTTTTTTAAATATATAAAACGGGAATGTATTCCTATTTATGAGAAACTTGAACGCATAAAAAAAAAAAAGTATATAGAAGTAACAGCGCTTGTTATTTTTATAAATAATATTTTCTGGAATATATTAAATATATTCCACTAAATTTTAGTCTTGATAGTAAAATAGTAATAGTCTATTATATAATCAATGGTAAAAAATATACACTCATTTGATTTCAATTGGAATCATTGATTACCGCTGATAAGACTTTATGTCCTATCAATATATCTATTGTGTAATATCTATGTATGCTAGGTACTTTATAATATTAAGCTAATATAATAATAAAAATAATAGTTTTAAAATTATGGTAAAAACAATGTGAATAAACCAGATAAATTTTGTTAAAAATTGGAACTCTTTAAAAATTCCTGTTTCTCCTTTACTTTTTATTATTTTTTCATCACGCAATTATTAATTATTTTAAAAACGCAAAAACCAAAAGCTAAACCTCTATAAATCAATCAGATCTAGGTTCAATTAACTATTAGGAAAGGTTTTGCATTAAAAATCAGCTAATAAATTCTAGATTAAAAGTTGTCTGCAAAAATAACATCATTAACAATTGCTTGGATCGTAAAAAAAAAAATATTAAATAACGGTAATATGTTATTTTTAAATATTTTAATTTCACTGGTTGTTAATATATTCCTAATTGTAAGCTGCTTATTTTATTTAATCAATCTTATCAATATCATTGTCATGAATGGTTTTTATCGTAGGGCGAAAAAACGCGACCAGCCACAATACATTTGGACAGATTGTGATAAATTACGAATTTATGACAGCAGTTCATTCAGCATGTACATGATAATACTTGTTCCGATCGATTGTTTGATTTTATGTATATAAAAATAAATTCGGTTTTTGTTCACCAATGTCTGTCACAGTGTTTCGAATTGTTGGTAGTTTGCGGTTAATACCGCATTTTCACCGATTACTTGGTTAAAATAACACCCATTGAGAAGTCTATACATGTATTATGTGCTGAAGTCGGCTGAGTCCGATTGTGGCAATCCGTAACGGTTTGAATCAGATTTCAGATTTGTGATATATATTTTGGTAGGAGTTCTACTTATGAAAGGAATAAATCACTACACTGAAAGTATGAAAGGAATAAATCACTACACTGAAAGTATTTTATTAATAACGTTTATTTGAATCGATGGAACTATGTCCTTACACTGAAATAGGTTTTTATCGACTGACGACGTTGGCGTTTATATGCTAAGACGGCGGCGTTCGACGCGTATATAAAATTTTTACGTCTACTATTTAAATCTTAATACAAAACATGGATTCACAACACATGTATCTACGTTGCATTCGACTTAAGGTTGAAATATTCGACAACGCTATCGAATAACCGCGTCGCATACTTTAGACTTCAGGCGAATTGTTCGAATGCACATTGTTAAATAGTTAAATTGCGCATGCGACACCCGCGCACCTATTGTAGAAGTCTTGTTAATAGTGTATACATGTGGTCCGTGTAGTATTCCAGCTGCAACGGCAGTGGTGAGAAACGACTCTAAAGGTAAAATTCGACAAACATTCGGTCAGTGATGATTCGCGTTCGTTTATCAGATAACCATTGTACAAATAATAACGACAAACAGAATTGCGAGAAGGTCGATGGCGTCTCCCATTCGCAGAACTTAATGTTTTTGATAAATTATTCAAACAAATGCCAACGGATTTTAAAGGCAATTAT